GAGAGAGAGAGAGAGAGAGAGAGAGAGAGAGAGAGAGAGAGAGAGAGAGAGAGAGAGAGTCTCTAATTTTATACGTAGAAAAATTATTTTTAGAGTAGCAGGAATATGAAAATTCCAACCTCCTAAATAGAGCACTACAAAAAATAAAGATGAGACTAATAACTTAGTAATAAGTTTAAGCATGAAGCAATATAAAAGATTCCAAATCTGATGCCAGAATATTCAGTCTGATAATTCTTCTTCAGCTTTCTGGCAGATCAAATTGTAATCTTTCACATTCTATTAAAAAAAAGTAATGAAACCAACTGGCTGACGCCATATATTCCAGCTTAAAATCCCATATCCCATATTGACACTGTTGTTCAACAATCTCAGAAGTACTCGAAGTATTGCAATAATTATTATAGTTGATTAAAGAAGAGAATTTTTGTCTCCAGATTCTCCACTAAAGAACCGTACATGAAACTTTTACCTCATAGATAAGACTCTTATCTATGTTCGGACGTTTGGAAAAGCTCCGAACATGTTCGCTGTGCTACACATGATAAGAGTCATAAGGGTATCTCCTTAGCTAATCGGTTCTCCGTTTTCCTAGGATATACAATAGCTCCACCAGTTGCTAAATAAGGTTTGCCCATTCTCATAGACTCCATAAAGATATAACCTGACCTAATTCAGTTTCCAAATTAGGTAATATTTTCATTTAAAGTTTCGACTAAAACAAAAATAACATTCTCTAAGAAATTAGAATAAACAAAGAAGAATATTAAATATTATCTCTATCTCTATACTACTAAAAGTTGTAAAGGTCCCGCTGACATGCTCGGTCGTGAGCCCAAGGGAAACCTGTGGAGGGGTGCAACCGGGTATGGGAACCGGTGCAGGGGCGAGGCCCGCGCCAAAAACGGTGTCGCGCGTCACGTCGGGTCAGGGAAACAGGCCGGAGGAAAAATCGTCGTCGGGTGCCGCGCGTCACAGGCCGGAGGAAAGTCGCCTTCGGGCCCAGGGAATTGCTAGATTTGTCGTCCCGCGGCAGGTCAGTGCGAATCGGGCTCTGCGTGGCTCCGCTCCGCGCCAGTCGTATGCGAATGCGCCCACCGTGACGTGCGCCGTTCCCTATGTCGGAGCAGCGGGAGGAGGAGGAGGAAGAGTGGGAGGAGCAGTAGGAGGGCGAACGAGAGAAGGAAGATCCACCATCTGTTGTTGTTAAGCGGTGTAGCAGCAGGACGGAGGTTGGAAATTGCTGCGGGGGGGGAAGAGCAGGAGGAGCAGCAGGAGGGCGAACGGGAGAAGGACGATCCACCATCTGTTGTTGTTAAGCGGTGTAAAAGGGAGAGAGAGAGAGAGAGAGAGAGAGAGAGAGAGAGAGAGAGAGAGAGAGAGAGAGAGAG